CTCTATAAACAATAAAGTTCTCAGCTTGTCTTCCCATGGCAAGCAGAACACCGTCCTTGGGAAGGCCTGTTATCCTGAGAACAGATGTAGAGGTTTTGGGAACACTAGTTTCTGTTTTAGTTTCTGGTTTCTGTTTTGGTTTCTGTCTTTAATAAACAATTGTAGGTATTCTAAAACAAAGGGAGTGGTTAGAAATTTCTCTGTTAGCCTATCATGACATTGGATTACAGAATATTCATGGCGTTCGTTAGCACTGTTATTTAAGGTGATTGATTGATCAATAAAGTCGGAGTTCGATGCATTACCAGGATGGTCGTTCGCCCCTTCACTTCAATAGTCATGTCCCTCTGGCCTCTCTCTCTCTGTTCTTCCAAACAGGATTTTTTGCAGCAGAAGAGCTGAAAAGTGGGATCTTGTGCATTTCTGCCATTGCACGTTTACTTAAACTTTGGATGTGAGCTGCTGGAGTGAGGTCAGCAGCTGAGAGCACGATCTTGCACAGCTCAGATTGGCTGTACGAGCAGTTTCATCAGATAGGACCTCTGAAGTGACATCCACTCTCAGGAAAAACCTTTGCACCCCATGCTAGAGGCTCCAGCTGATGCTATATAAAAGCAGGCTGTAATTCAGAGTGACATTTATACTTGTGCTGGCTCAGCTCACGCTTGTGTTTCTTGACAAAGCGTTGCCTCTGATTCTCAGGGCATTATGCACACAAATTTTCTCTTTAGTGGCCTGTAACTTGAGAATCATCTTTCCCCTTCTATTCAGGAAGAAAGCAATACCAAGCACAGAAATCAATCAGGTTTTATGGACAAATGTAGACACATGAGATTGTCACTGAATTTTGTCAGAGACAAAAATTATCTGGATATGTCACTGTGTGTTGGGGAAGGTGGAGCCTGGATTTTGTGGAAAGAAGACGACTGGTTTCCAAGGTGATGGAAAAAAATCTACACTGAATCCAACCTCAGTATCTTAACAAAAATAGTGTTTGTGTGTATCACCAAACAGAGCAGAATCTGACTCACAAAAATAGAAAAATATAAGGAGATTGATTAATTTAAAAATAAGTGAAACCAAGGTCCTGGAGGAAAAAGAAAAGCAAACTTTTGAGCTGAGAGATGACTTAAAAATGTAACATACATGTCAAGTTGTGTGAAAACTCCCATTGCTTTACAGTATATGATCCTGGAAGAGAGAATGTAGACCTTTATCCAGATGATTTCAGTGAATAGCAGGTTGCTGATGTACTGTGATCAGCAAATCAAAGTGTAAGACAGAATGATTCAAAACCCTAAAGGATTTGCCATAAGAATGGATAATATCCCCATTTTAGAAAGTGCCTCATCTCTCTCTGTTTTTTGGTCCAACTCATTCTTTTCACAGTGAAAAGTCCAAGCCTGAGGAATGCAGTAGATGGATTAGTAGAATTACATATGAGTGTCTTTTCTAGAATGCAGATGTCTATATCATTTTGAATTTCCTGCAAGTGTGTATATTTCATGTTGGACCACACCATTAACCCATCTTGGCCCTGGTCAGATGGTACTGCATTGGTGGGAAGGCACGTAGAACCTTCAGAAAATGTGATGAAGACAGGAACTGTCTGGATCCTCACGTTTCAGACAGGAAGAGAATGTTCCTGCTTGCACTTGTAACATTTTCCTGTGTGTTTCTTCAAAGCTAAGGATAGAAACAACCCCCTCAAGGAGCTGTATGAAATGAGAATGCTAATCATGTTGCTGTTGAAAAAAGCAAATCAACAGAGAGTTAAGGAAAGAGAGAAGTTGCTTTTTGTAAAATCTGAAAAAGGCTTTGGTTTTGGTGGCTTAAGCAGAAAATAATTATTTAATTAACTTGCTGAAATAAGTGCAGGGCATCTACTGTCCTTTCTCTGCTGCTTCCAGTGAATTTGAGGTTGCAGCATTGACATTATAAGGATTGCTTTTTTTTCCATAGAAGAGAGACAAATTTGGAGCAAATCAAAGGTATTTATGATCTCATAAAGTATCTCAAGTCTGCTGTGGAAACAGATGAAGAATCTGAAATCATCTCCCTTTCTTGTGTGCCACTTCATGAAACAATTTAGGCCTGGCTTCATATATGTGCCCTAGCTCCTCACCTAGCTCTGTGTGCATCTGAGGATCATGCCGTAAAGCAGGGCCAAACCATATACTTGACCACTTACAAATCCTTCCTAAAATATCTCCTGGCCACTGTTCCAGCAGCAACAGGAAAAGATCCAATCAGAGGAGAACAGAACAGTGTAAGTGTTTTGCATTACAAGCACGCTCTGGACCAGAGACCAACTTTGTTTGACATGGACATACTGGAGTCCACTAACATGATTCAGGGATTGGCACATCTGACACACCAGGAGCTGGGATTTCTTAGCTTTGAGAAGAGGCTTCAGAATGTAGTTGATGTGTGTAAATGTGTATCAATATGTATAAATATCAGTTGGAAGGGAATAAAAAAGTGGAGCCAGACTCTTCTCAGTGGGACCTAGTGAAAGGAAAGGAGGGAACAGGTGCCAACTGAGATGCATGAAATTACATTTAAATGTGAGAAAAACCCAATTTTTACTATTCATGTGTTAAACATTGGAACAGGTTGCCCAGGGAGCTTGTGGACTCTTTGTCTTTGGAGATGTTCAAAACCCTGCCTGGCATAGCCCCGAGCAACCTGCTCTAGCTCACCCTGTTCTGACTGGAAAGACTGGACCTCCAGAGGTCCACTGCAACTGAAACAATTCTCCTGTGAATCTATAAGACCCATTCAGGTACCTTAAAGAAAACCCTAATCAACTCTAAATTTACCTATTCAGTAGTGTACAGGAGCAGAGCACTTCACACATTTCTGAACTATGACCCTTCTACACAGGTAGCTTGACTCAGATGAAACATTTCCTCATGTCTCAGAGGTTTAAACAGATGATGAGAGATAAACATGTAACAATATCTCAGAATCTGCCCCTGAGCCCATCTTCAGTGTATTCCTCCTTTGCCAGTCTTCTGTGTAACACCTTGACCTTGTTAGGAGTGAGGGGCTTCACTGCTGGGTCCAAGAGGTATCTGCACCAGGTCTGGGTAGGGCATGGGTGCTGGTTCTCACTGAGGTTTGTGTACACCCCTAGCTTATTTCTCTTAGCAGTCTCCTTTCTGTGGGGTACTCCAACAAGTCCTGCTGCTCTAAACCATGAAATGAGCATTGAGAAATCCTCTAAATCTTCTTGAGCAGCTGCTGGGGCAACATGGTAGGAAAAGAAATAGATTTATCACAGTTTATTTGTTGCTTTCAAAGAAGTCTAGTTAAAGATCTTTGGTAAAGGCCTCTTTCCCTTGTTGATGTTTTCCCCTGAGTTTCCATAGCCTTTCAGGCAGGGCAGTATCTCCCCCACATGGCACAGGTAAAACCTTGCTCCTTGGACCCAGTCTCCTCCCTGCCCAGATGGGTGTCCTGCTTAAGCTCGAGCTGTTGTCTTTTGTCACATTTCACCCACCTCTGAGCAGGGTGAAATGGGACAAAATGAGCAAGCCCATGAGCCATGGAGAGCCCTCAGCAGGCAGTGAGACTGAGGCAGGCTTTCAGCAGGGTGTCAGATGCTTTTCAGGGCAGAGACAGTCCCTGGAATGCAGCAGAGTACTCAGGCCTTGGGCAAGTTCAGACACATGTTGATGCATAATACAAGATGGAGCCTATCAGTTGATATCAGACTCTTCCAGTCAGTCACAGGGTTGGGTAGGCAGGTATGCCATGCAAAATAGGAGGTAATGTAACTACCAAATCAGAGTGATATGGAAAGGTTTCTTGTCATTCCTGGTTGACTGTTTCATTGTGAATTCATTCTGTGGGCTATGGGTGCTTGAGTAGGGGGCAAGCACCACAAATAAAACTGTGGCATTATTTTGGGAAAAGGGAAGGAAGGCAAAGTGGAGGGAAAAAATAATAGACACCATCTACAAAAGCCACAATAAGGCAAAGCATACATTCTCTAGTAAGAATAACTTCAGTTTCTTCTGCATTTGTTCCATTTGTTGCCTGGGTCATACCTGAGCAGTTCAAAGTGCAGGACTGGAATCTAGGAGGTCTAGATTTTCTTCATACATTTCCAGTTGCTAGCTTGTTGTATGTCCTGAAAACTTAAATATTTTTAAAGGGTAAAAAACCCAAAGGTAAAATGAAATAGGAGCAACATTTACATGTAGAAAAAATGACTTGTCCTAACACAGGACTCTCCTGTTTCCTTCCCACCTGCCCGGAGCAAGTGGTGCCAGGAATTTGGTGCCCTAGGCAGGCTTCAGGCAAAGCAGGCCCTTCTCCCTGGGCGGCAGGCGGCCCTTCCTCATGGCAGTCCTCTGGTGCCCAGGGGCAAAGGGTGCTGCGGCTGCAGGCTTTGGGTGGAGGAACAGACCCAGCCATCCCCAAAGCGAGGCATTAGAGTGCCTGGGAATACACTCAGTCTTAGAGGAAACCCAAGGACATCGTAGTCTGGGATGGGATAGCTCCAAGGGACCGATCTTTCTCTTGGAGGAGGAAGTGACAGCACAGGACAGGCGAGGAGCTTGGCTGGGTGGAGGAGAGCTGCAGAGCCTTGGAAGAGCTGCGGGGCTCAGGGGCCGGGCACCGGGAGCAAGGAGGGCGGCGATGGGGAAAGCAGCAGCAGGAGATGTGAAGGAGCGTGTGTACGCCCGAGGTGCGGAGGAGGCTGAACTACGGGGAGAGGTTCAAGCGTCAAATGAGGCCTCGGGGCTGAGCAGCGGGTCCCGCACAGCCCCACCAGGTGCGGCTGCAGCACGGCCCGGTTCCGAGAGATTCGGCTGCCGGAGCTCAAGTACCGTGAGGGCGGCCGCTGCCAGGACAGGCGAGCCTCGCCCGGGGGCGGTGGCTCCGGCGGGGGAGGGACGGGCTGCGGGGCGGTGCCGGGCACAGGAAGCGGAAAGCGGCAGCAGCGACGGCGGCCGCCGCCGGGGAAGGTGGCGGGGGGCGGTGCGGCGCGGAGGGTCGGGTCGGTGCCGGCAGCAGCATGGGACGGCCGCGGGAGGGAGGTGAGTCCGTCCATCCGCCCGTCGGTCTGTGCGGGGCCGGCCGCGGTGCGGGGGGGCGATGCCGCTGCCCCCACCACGCCCTCCCGCCGCCGGGACCCCGGTGCTGGGGCGCCGGGAGCGGCGGTGTGGCAGCCTCCGGCTCCCGCGCCTGGCCGCAGGGTCCGTGCCCGGCCGGGCGGTGCTGCTGAGGGCCCCGGCGGTGCCCGCTGCGGGGCCAACCCGCCGCGTCTCGCTGCCCTGCCCTGCCCGGCGCTTTCCGCGCTGCGCGCTCGTTCCCGTGCCTGGGCGATGGTGGAAGGCGGGCGGGGGCCTCCCTCCTGCCGGCCGGGGCGCAGCCTGCCCGCCGTGAGGCTGCGGGGGCGGCGGGTCCGCGGTCTCGGCATCCCGGGAGAAGGCGCTCCGTGCCGGCGAGGGCCGTGGGCGCAGCAGCGCTTTGCTGCCGAGCCTCGCCCTGCAAGGAGCCGTGCGCTGTGGGTGCGAGAGGCTCCGCGCTGGTGTGAATGCTCTGCCGGCAGTGCCTTGCCTGCCCACGGCGTGTGAAACAAACTGCTCTGTGTTTGGGCTCATCCCGCTGGGCAGTGCGGGAGGGGGAGCAGGAGTGACGGGAACGAGAGCTGCTGCGGAATAACATAGGGGGTTTGGTTTTTTATTCAGAAGGTTGTCAGAGTGGTGAACTGACTCTCTTATGCCGAGGGTTGAACTCTTTGAATTGCAGAGCCGGTGAAAGCATAAGTGACTTGATGGCAGGGTTTTCGATCTGAGGAGGCAGCTGGGCGATTCCGTGGCTGTTTGGAGCAGTGGAATTTTTTGACCCCGAGTTTTCAGTAATGAACTGCCCACATGATCTATAAAGGGTTAAGAAATGGAATCACGCTGGCTGGAAGTGCAAATTAGGATGTTATGAAGTATGTTCTGTGATATCATTGCCCGTGAGCTCAGCCTGACTTCAAGGAGGAGAATTGTGGAGAAGGGAGCTCCAGCAGTGCTTTGCCACCTTTGAAAAGCTTCGTTCTGACCTTGCTTGGCTCTTTTCCCCCACTGGGGTTTGGCTGTTTAGCTGGCCACAGCTACGAGGCCAATGTTGGCTCAGTGATCACTACAGTTGTTAATTTTGAAAAATAAATGTGAATGGAGTCTTGTAGAAAACCTCCTTTAAAAATTTTCCCTATAGCTGAAATTTTGGAATAATCCCAGGCTGTACTGGAACCAGCCAGGCAAATATCTAACTGCTCCCAGCCACTGACCAGCAGCTCCCAGTGGTTGCTTCTGGCCTTTCTGGTTTTGGTAAGCAGTGGCAGCTGTTCCTGGTGGCTGTTGTCTTATGGATATGTACACCTGGAGAGGGCTTCCTGTCATTGTGAGATGGATACAGTACTAGGACAATACAGTACTAGGACAACACTACCACAACACTGCAGTTGTACTAGCGGAACTGCGTGTTGTGTTGTTGTAGCCTGCCTTCCTTACACCCCCACCTCTTGCAACCAAAGCAAAGGATGGTGTCAGAAATGTGACTTTGCTGCTGCAGGGCTTGTGCTGCTGTGTGGGGAGCTGGGAGGCAGACCTGAGTGGAGAGCTGTGATGTCCAGTTCTGCTGGTGGGAAATAGTGAGCTCCTGTTTCCCCATGTCTGGTACCATTGTTTGGAAGAAGAAAATTAACCCGTGTAAAAACAATCTTAGTACTTCTTTTAATTCCTCATTAGCCTGTATGTCAGGATTTTCTGACTTGGGTCAAATTAAAAATCAATGGTTATTTCCTCTGGGGTCAACACCTTTGCCCTCTCTCCTTGCAAGGGCAGAATGGCATTGGACTTGTACAGATTTGAGCATGAGGGAGATGTAGAGAGACTCCATTCTGTGGAGTCCCACTGTGCTGTGTCCTGGGGATTTTCTCAGGGTCTGTAGACTTCTTTTTTGTTCTAAATTTAAATAGAAAATTCTGGCAGATATGAAGTGTGTTAAAGAAGGGAGTGCTCTTTCAGTAGAGAAACATTTTCCAGTTCATACCTTTTAATGCTAACTCAGTATCTAAGTGCTGTGGCTAAAAGCAAGTACTGAAAATGAGGTACAGGTACTGCCTGTTGGGATAGGCAGAGTCAGTGTTGTCTTATGGGACACTTTTCCCTGTTTGTTTTGTTTTAAATGTCAGTATGGAAAACTGAATTCCTGTGCACAGTCCCAGGTGCCCTGGTGTCCTGAGGTTGAGGCCACACTGCCTTGTGCCCCACTGCATGGCTCTGGGGTTAAGGGGAGCACTGGAAGATCTGGCAGCATGGAACATACCCATGAATGAGGAATCACAAGCTTTCACCAGTCTGACAGGATGGCACTGAAGTGTAGTTTGCATGATTGAGTCTCAGATGCTCATTGTGCTTCAGAAACCTGGACAGCACAGATGTGGCTCTTGGAGTGGGCAGAGGACATCCTCCAGGGAAGTGCTTCACACATGGGCCCCATGTAGAGAGCTTCCAGCTGTGTAACAGGGAGACAAGAGGCTGAGGGTCACTGCTTGGAAACTCTATGCTCACTTGAGTGGTGGTTTTGCCTGGGTATTTCTCTTGTCAGTTGCTGTGTTTTCAGACCTGTGTTGCTGCATGTTCTGATTAAACAGTGGATTGCTTCAATGAACCAAGTAGCTTTTCCTTCTGAAATACCCATGTCATGGGCTAATGGTTTTCAGCTTTGGAGCTGGAAATTCCAGGGGATCTGTGAAATCATTCTGAGGAGCCTCTGAGAGGCAAAAGAAAAGAGAACCTATTGCTAAAGGGCTTGAATTTGCTGACTACTAAAGGGGTTTTTTTAGAATGAGGGGCTTGCAAATCAAGAGCCTCCACCATACAGTAAAAGCCATGGTTTAGTTATATATATATGGCCAAAATTGACCTTATTTAATGACATGCAAAACTAAATACAAATATTTTAGAAAAACCTTGTTTCCCAAAGCTCGCTGCCCGTTAAATCTGGAAGTCTTGGCTCTGCGAGTAGATGAGCATGGATGAACTTATGTGCTTCCAGATCAAGTTGCTGGATTGGGGCCTGCTCAGGAAATTCAAAAGCAAGAGGTTCCTGTGGCATTGCTCATAGGTCTTACTATGTCTGCAGTTGAAGTTACGCAACTTGTCATTTTCCTGAAGTGAATAATGGGAATGTGCTGCAGCAGTACTGTGCAGCCGGGCCAGTGCTGGAGTTGGAAAAGCTTCCTCACTGCTTAGCCGTCTTAATTGTTTTTACTTTTGAACCCTCAGCGCTTGAGGTTCGGTGTGTTTGATTTGCAAAGCTCTTCGTTTCACTAAATGAAGGGAAAAAAAGATTTCTCAGTGCAATAGCTCGTGGGCATCCATTACCCCGCAGACAGCTGGTGCTGTTTAACAAGTGAGGCTGACGGCGGTGTTTGGAGCTGCATTCTGCGCACATCCTCACGGACACTTGTGGCTGCTTTGCGCTCCAGATGGCAAATACATACAAATACACACAACTTCATGAACTGACTGGTAAACCAACTCTAATTGATTGCAAGTTTTAAACAGAGCAAGATTCAAACTGTACAAAGATTTCAAAGATGAGCTGCTCTGGAGTTATTTGCCTCAACTTCACAGGGGAAAAATCCATTGGGAAAGCATGGGATGTAAAGGGAGCTGTTGTTTGTGTTTGCCCTCTTTGATTTAAAGATGTAACTTGCTCTTTTAAATTTCTCTTGGGCTGGGAGCCAAACTGCTCTCCCTTGAAGACGATCACAAAGCAAACTTCATTGGAAATAGGATTGGGCTTCCAGTGTGGAAAATAGCAATTCAAAAGAACTCTTTTTGAGATTTATGAGCGTATGAAAAGAGGGAGTTACAATGAGTTGTGTAGCTGCGTAGAAACTGTAATTACAGTGATCTCTGGGGTATTCAGGGGTAGCTACATTTCTTCACTGTCATGCGGGGTGTGGCAGTCCTCCTTGCCAGCACAGGGTCCCAAAATTTACTTCGGGTGCCCTTGCCATTGTTTTCCATCTAGTACTTGGCTTCTTTCTGTCATCATTGAATAGGGGAAAGGCAAAGTGAGAGTGCTGGCCCTACTGGGAGCAGAGTTCTGGGTGTACAGTTTATACAACTGTCATGGTGGAGCAGAGGAGGCATTCCCTCCTCCCCTCTAGCTGTTCACTTGTGCTGCTATTCACCCTGATGTTGGTTTTGATGTTTTGAGCTGTGCTGTGAACTAGGTCACGGAAAGGATCCAAGACAAAAGCGTGGCAGGGGGGCAAAAAGGGATTTTTTGTTTTGTTTTCCAGCAGTGCTGTTTGCTTGCTGAGAATTGTGTTGACACAACCGAGAGTGGTGAACCGTGGTGCGGAGGTGGAAGCTACTTACACCAGCTTTCTTGTCAATGCTGAAATACAGTGCAACTGTACCCTCGGGCCAACAGGGCTTTGTTTCATGCAGGGCCAGAAGCTCTGCAAACAGACCATGCCTTCAGCAGAGTCCTGCAAGATGTAATGATCATTTGTGAAGCCATTTCAATTGGCTGTGTTGTACTCTGAATTCAGGCTCTTTTGTGAAGGGATGAGGCCCCAAATGATGGGGCTGCTGCTTTAAGCAGAACACTTGTCCTTGCCCAGAGGGGTAGGGTAGGAATTATCATTAACTGTGATTTAGTAGTGGAGCTGTGTAAAGACTGTGCTTAGTTTGGATATGGTTGTGTTATGAAGGACATGAGGGCAGCTTGTCTGCTCTAGGTCTCCTCAGGCTCTAGTAGTGGCCACTCTTGGGTTGATGGCTAATCCAGTGTTGACTTCTGTTGATGCTATTGGAAGAACTCCAACCCAGAGGTGTAGTTTAGCTTGTTAACTGTATTTTGGTCCCTTCCTTACCTCCTCCACAGTAGTTTCAGAAGCTTTTGTGGTGTCAGGCTGCCCTGCCTTCCTGCTGCGAAGTAGACCAGGAGGCGGGCAAGTGGCTTGGCATGGCTGTGGGGAGTGCGTGTTTGGACTGTGCCCCTCCCTCCTTGGCTGGGAGTGGTGTCTATCTAGCAATCCAGGCTACCCTCTGTTGGACAAGTCTAGGAAGCCTTCTTGACAATCATTCTCAGTTGGGCACCGGGCAAAGCCAGTGGTCTTCTGCTTTTTGCAGCTGAGGTTGGGCAGATGTACTTTGTTCTTGGCTGGCCTGTGAGTGCCTCGACAGGAAGATTATTTAGCCACTGGCGTATCCTGCAGTTGGGGCAAGGAGGAGGTGCAGAGTCCCTGAGTTCATCCTAGAATCCTTTAGGTTGGGAAATACCTCTGAGATTACTGCTTTTGACGGTGATCCAGGAGACTTGATGGTTTTTGGGGGCCGCCTTGTTGACTTTTCACAGAGCTGTGTCAAAACCGTTGCTCTTGCTTACACAGAAAGGGAAAGTTGGCATGATCCAGCCTGCCCTGATGTTCCTGTGTTGGTCTTTTCTGCCTGGTGCCCCTGCACTGCCTTACTTCACTCACCATCAAATGGGCACTGCTTGTTCATGGTACCTGCCCAGGCAGCCTGTGCATTTCCACAGCAGCCTCTGCCTGCAGAAATGTTCCCAGAAGCCTCCAGAGAAGTACGATCCTGTGCTGATGGGATGAGAGAGGCCAAAAGAGGAGCTCTATTCCCAGTCCCTGCCTCAGCTCTGGTTCTTTTACCTGGGATATGGGGGAAAATTCTTCTGTGTGGTTAGAGGAAAAGGGTGAGAGATTATACTTTCCTAGAGGGCTAGAAAAATACGTAACCTTTACTGATATATGCCAGCAGCTCTCGTTGCTTTTCCTTTTCCTATAATGCAGTGATATGTATCTGTAAAGGTGATGGCTGTTCTCAAAGGGACTCCAGTAACATCACAAACAGTGGTTTAAGACTACAATAACTTGTCACCTTTTGTTCAACTGAGGGTGTTTCTGGTCCATGGCGCCTAATGACTGTAAAGTCCTGTGTAGCCATCTCCTCATCGTGCTTTTTGAACGTAGGGGGTCGTGGCCTCATCTCCATTTATCAGAGGAAGACAGACAGAGAGAAAGGATTTTTCTGTGTTGCCTAGCAGGACAGTAGAGGTAAAAATCAGCTTTAATGAGCCTGTTGCTGGAGCAGTAAGGTACAGGCTGTGTGCAAATCCAGGGAGTTAACGAGTGTTAACATCACATCCTAGGCTGGGGGATTTTTTTTCTTGTTACAGTAATGATGCCATTTTCCAAACTGTGCTGTGCCTTGGCTTTGTTTAACTGTATTTAAATCCATCCTCATTCCTTTCCTCCTGAAACCAGGCCTTGTGGTCCCATCCTTATTTGTCCTTTTCATATTCTCTGAGTTACAATGTGCTCTTAGAGCTTGGGAATCCTGTACACAGGAGGTCCCCCTGCCTTTCTGCTTTCCAGGAGCCCCGGAAAGCCCAAGTGTTTTGCAAATACCTGCAGCTCTGGATGCAGTGGGGTTGCTGCTTTACTTTGTTGCAGATTGCACCTCCAGCCAAAGAACCCTGTGGGGAAGAGGCTTGGTTCTTTGGCAGTGCTTGCATGTGGCAGAGCTCTGTGCTCTGCTGCGAGCCTCTGTGGAGGTGTTAATGGAGGAATCTTATGGCTTGCAAGAATAGTTGGCCAAAGCAGGATTTCTGTTGTTGTCCCTCTGTCTTTGGGGAAGGAGAGGGATGAAAGCAGTGGTTGCCTTTTTTTACTGCTAACTGCTTCAAAAACTGCTGTGAGCAGAAAATTACAGAGGAATCTAATTTAAAGTGCTCTTTTGCCCACTCTGAAAGCATGGCATGGCTTCAGTGCCGTGTTGGCTGGAGGCAGCAGTTGCCTGGGCAGAAGGCATGTGAGGAGTGCTGGGCTGTGCCAAGGTACCTCTGTCCATAGCTGCAACCCTTCCCTCTTCCCTATTTGCATGTGTTTCCCCAAACCGGTGATCAGCTCCTTAACGCCCCTCCTTTCCATGTCTCTTCTCACCTAAGGCAGGATGTGGATTTGGAAAGTGGGATGATGTCTACCCTTCCTTCCCACAGGGCTGGGGGTTTTGACATGTTACTGTTGGGGATTGTTCTAATGTTGCCCTGCTCCAAAAAGCATGACCCTCTTCTGCCCTTTAAAGATGTGACTTCAGCTACTGTTCCAAGTGGAAGTACATTGTAGGAAGCGTGGCCCATATAAGCTAGATGTGATCTCTAATCGACTCTCCCCAGTGTTATTAGTATGTGTATATATAGAGATGATTTTTAATAAAATTGAATTCTTCGAGGCCCGAATTAGCTTCTGGAGACAAAGGTTACAAAGAGAGGGAGGTGTTCACAGTGCCATTGATTGTACAGTAACTAATGCCTGTATAATGGGCACACCTTGCAGTTAAGAAAACAAAGCAGGTTCAGACATGGTGGGCTGGTTCTCTCCAGCATTTCTCCTAGGGAAGTTGCCCTCACCCCCACCCGTTCCCCCTGTAAACAGGCTGTAATGCTGCTGTTCTGAAGGGGGGGTTATTAGGGCTGTGTCACGCAGGACAAGAGATGTGGTGTCGAAGCCAAGCCTGGTCGTTTTTCTGTGGGTGAATTTTGGTATGTAAGGCTGCTGTGCCTTCTCCAAGTCACTGTCCCTACCAGGTGACCTAGACTGTCTCTTCCAGCTTTTTAGATGAATGGGCTAAACTCTGCAAAACAGATGCACTGAATTCATTTAAAGCTCTTCAAATGCATATATTTCACTAGATCAGAAAGAAAGGCTGAGCAGGACAGGCTTGATGAGTGTGATATGTGGCCAGAGTGAGGGAATTCCTGCAGCAGGGATGATGTCTTGCTTTGCTTAGAGTGCACTTCCATGCCTGTTTCTCGTTTCTTAGGTCAATCGTGAGAAGCCAAGCACCCTCCCTCCCCTCCCCTCTGATCAGATTCCTTTTAAGTGAAGCTCACTCAGTCTCTGAGGACCAGATCTCACTGATGACTGGGAAGCAAAGAGTACCCAGGAAAGCACTTTTACCACGGACTCCACCTCAGGAGCACCAGGAACTCATCTTCTGAATAAAATCTGTGCCCCTTCCGTGCACACCTGATGTCTGCTGCGATGGATACAGAATCAACATATTCGGGATACTCCCACTACTCAGGTCACTCCAAAAAAGCTCACAGACAAGGGTAAGGAAATGTTTGTTTTTAATTACTTACTGCTCTAAGTTAGGATATGTCCTATGGGGAAAAAAAACTGTAAGCCAGGATAAAATCGGTGGACCAGGATGTCTGGAGAAGATGGATGTGGAAAGTCCTTGTGGGGAACACAGTGAGGAGACTTGAATATCTGCTAATTCATTGATATTCAACCTGTTGGATGCATGCTGGAGTTATGTGTGGCCAAAAAGACTGGGGTAGTGCCAGCAGAAAGAAAAGATTACCGAACTCCCCTCTTAAAGGGTGAGGGATGAGTACTGAATCTGGGGAAAAGACATGTTAGACTTCCTAAATTGATAATTGCTAGTTGTCTTCTGATGCCATTTCTTTATTCTGTAATAATATGGTTTCCTGCCTCTCCCCACCCTCCTCCAGCCTACTCTGTTAATGGTGTGTTGAGTTTTTTTTAAAATAGAATTTGAGTGGTACTTGAGTCGGCAACAAGTCCTTTATCAGCGTTGATTGGATTAGGAGTCAGGCTTTTCTGAACTTGAATAGCAAGTCCTTTCTGTTGTGGTAGTTCAACAGCCTGAAAATCCATCTGCTCTGAAACTTTTGGAAGCGTTTTCTTTTCTTTTTTTTTCCTACACTATACTTAGTTTTACATGTGAAATATGTGCCACTTACTGTTCGCAACTTATTACTGAGCTGGTCCAAAATAATTTTGCAATTCGGAAGCAATTACCCTGTGTGGTTGGAAAAAGAATTCTTCCATGAAGTCTCTTTGCTCACAGTCCAGTTATCGAGTAAAACATGTCTTGTTTGCCTTTTTTCCCTTCTTTAGCATCCAACCCCCAATACAGATTGCCCTTTTAAACTTAGAATGCTATGTGGAAAGATGCCTTCAGAGTTCCAAAAACAACATAAAAATCCCAGAGCCCTTAAACTGGATAAAGTGTCATCCCCTGAAACCTTTGGGCTTTGGTAATTCCAAGAGAGAGGCAGAGCTGGGATACTCATGTGTTAAGCCAGTCCCTGAGCACAGTGAGGGTTTCCAGTGCAAATGCTGCTTTCCTGTCCATGTGGGAACGGGGAGGAAAGCATTGGTGGGCAGATTGGTGGGGCTTAATTCATCTTGAGACTTTCTCAGATGAGAAGCTGTGAGGTCTGCAAGGGTGCTCTGGAAATAAAGACTGGCCTTGTACCCTTGATGTTCTTGCTTTCTTTGTGAGAGGTTAACTTGAGGTTATTAACCAGTGGAAATAAACTTCACCAATTGTCCTACATTGTTAAGGTCAGAGATGACAAGACTCTGCTTTGCAGGAACTAAAGCTGTATTGATTAATTCCTTGTGTTAACTGGGCATGTCCCTGCAAGACACTTTCTTGTAGGTGGAGAACTGTGTAGACCAGTAAATTCCAAATGGAATTGCCAGTTGTTTGGAGCATGCAGGCTTTCCTTTTAAGCAGAGCACTGATGGAAAGTGTTTTAAGGTGGTGGGCATGGATCCCTGTCCTTCCCTCTGCTGTCACTGAGGGGGTGGTCTGTCCCAGCCCCCAGGCTGTCAGCTTCTTTGGGCAAAGTCCCTTTCCACCTCCTCCAGAGCTTGTTTTGTCGCAGCCTGAGTCTATGTTGATCGAGAGGACAGACTTGTCCGATCTAATGCTTGGGGCACCTGTTGCAGGTAGAGGCGCAGCACCTTTCAGGCCCTGCTCCATGGAGTAACTGGTAACATTGTTCTCCTCCTCCTCTGTTTGAAAAAGGAGCCGGGACAGACACAAATCTCCCCGAAGCAAAGACGGCAGTCGGTCGGAGAAGTCCGTCACTATCCAGACGCCTCCTGCAGAGCCGCTGCTCGGCAATGACGCCTCCCGGGCAGAGGAGGGCCAGGTAAGGAGGGCTGCAAGCAAACCTGCAGGGTGTGTTGTGGGACAGAGCTGCGGGCTCGCTGCCTCATGAGAAGGAAGAATTGGGAAGAATTGGGAATTCTTTCTTTCTTAAGGGAGGAAAGAATTATTTGCAAGCTGTTTAGTAAAGAGTCATGGCTTATGGGTGCCCTTTGCTCATGCATACAGCCAAGGTCTCAGCCACTCTGGCTTGTTCTGAGGGTGCTGTTTCTGACAGCACCAGTGCTGATGTGACAACTGCTCGGGCGCTACTTTGACTCTCTTTGTATAGAGCTTGGCAGAGTATCATCTGCCAAGCTCTACACAAACATCTGTTTCCATCCTCTCACTGTGCATTATTCAGGTCAGCCCTTTCAGCTGTATATGTATTTCAGTTTTTATCCAGGATTTGCTACAGGTAATCTTGTAAAGTGCATTACAACCAGGATTCCAATAGGGAAAGGAATTAAGAGAGGTGAAACTAGTGTGAAATAGCTGTGAAGGAAGGTGGACTCAGAAAAGCTAGTACATTAACAATGGGTTTGGTAAAAACTAGAGTAATGCTGCATTTGGATTGTAGCTAGGATGGATCCAGTGCTCTGCTCTAGCAGGTGATATAAAGGTGCATATTCATTTTCAAGCAATGCCTGGTGCTGCAAGGCCTAGAATGCAGGATGCTTCGGTACCTCCTGGGCTGGATTTGGGATTTGTTAATCCTTGGCTGCGGGGTTCCACTTCTGTCTTTATCAAAAAAAAAAAAAAAAAAAAAAATCAGTGTACAGCTTCCAGCCAAACTATGTAGCAGTATTTGTGTACCTAGGGGTGTGCTCATTTCATGTCCTGTAATTTGGTATTTTGTAATTAGTTGCTTCTTTTCATGAGTCCCAGCTGTTTCTAAAGGCGCTGGTGAATTCCTAAGTCCTTGTTTTCATGCAGCCCTCCTCAATTAAAGCCAAAGCTAAATAAATTGATGTGTGAGCCAGACTTCCCTCCTAGGGAGCAGAGTGACCTCAGTTACATCCAAAAGCCATGTACCACTAAAGATTTAGCCTCATATTTCCTGTCCTGTGAGGAGAGGCTGCAACAGGTGGGGTTGTTCAGTCTGGAGAAGAGAAGGCTCTGAGGTGACCTTATTTTGTGGCCTTTCAGTATCTGAAAGGAGCCTACAGGAGAGCTAGAGGGGGACTTTTTACAAGGGCGTGCAGTGATAGGACAAGGGGCAATGGCTTTAAACTGAAAGGGGCTAGCTGTAGATTGGATATTAGGAAGAAATTTTCTGCTGTGAGGGTGGTGAGGCACTGGAACAGATTGCACACAGAGGTTGTGGCTGCCTCATCCCTGGAAATGTTCCAAGGCTGGGTTAGATGGGACTTTGAGCAGCCTGGTCTAGTGGAAGATGACCCTGCCCATGGCAGGAGAATTGGAACTGAGTGATCTTTAAAGTCCCTTTCAACCCAGAGCATTCTCTTGAGTCTCTGGTTCCATATAAATGTGCATTTTTTTGCATTAGGCCGTAGTCCACTCTTTCACGTGGCAAGAGTTGTAAGGGCTAAACTGTGACTAGGGTTGCCTGTTGTCTTCTGGGATGTAGCCTTAAGCTGCCCTGGTGTTCCTGTCCCTTCTCTTTTCTGCACAATTTTGCAGCTCATCAAATGGAGGAAACTATGCAGAGCTACTTAATGCATAAACATAAAATAGTTGAAATGCTTGAATTGCAGAGGTGCTGTTAAAGAGTACAATGTGGCAGGAATGTGCTGCTTTTCAGGACATGCTACAATGCAGATCTCTTCCGGGCCTCTGCTTTGGTGAGAAGTGACTCAAAACCCCCTCATATTAATTCAAGATGCTGACTATTTGTGGTTGGTCTGTCTCAAAACCCTACTGCTCTAGGCATGGGAGATATTCATGTCTTGGAGTGCTTTAGAAGTTAAATCCATGGAGTTGGGAGTTGTTCCAAGTAGTTGTGCTGCTTCAGTCTAGTCCTTTCCCAAAGACTCTTTCCTTTAGCACTTAAAAAGAAGTGAATAAAGGTTTAATATTATGCCTGTCTCTTTCAAATAAGTTGTTTTGGTCAGCGTGTGCAGTTGGAGAAGTCTGAGGGAAGTTGTAAATCCTATTAATGACACAGGCTGCAGGAAGATATTCTTAGGAAGAAAAGCAAAAATGTGGTTCTGAATGGGCATTGTGGCTATAAAGGTGCCAGGTGCCAAGCAGCAGAGCCACATGCATTGCCGGAGCCACATGCATTGCCACTCTTTGCCATGCATTTGTGGGAAGCATCAGGAGCCTCCATGTGCATGAGTCACCCCAGCAGCAGCTGTGAGTCAAATCCATACATGTCAGTGTAGCTCTTTGGCTGTGCCAGCAGCTGGAGGGAGCAATTGGAGGCATTGTAGCATGGGAAAACCAATGCAGACATTGTCTGATGTTAGCTAGGGAAGAAATGAGACTTTCAGAGCACGTAATGTAATCTGAAACTTGCCAGCATGGTGACTGTATTTCAGGTAAGCCTCTTTGTGAGTAAGTGGCTTCTGACAATGGCCTGGATTGTAGTACCAGAGCTACTTGGCAGTCCAGGATCCTCTAAACTTAAAAGCCCCATACCTGAAAATATCCTCTGTGATCACCTGTCATGTGTTGGTTTAACTAAAGTTTTATTCGATTGCCAGCTACTGAGGGCAGTGCTGCTCTAGAGGAGAATAAAAGAAGTGGAGGAACTTGCTGGAGGTGTGGTTGCTTCTATTACGGATGGAAAAATAATGTGTGAACATGTTTTTGATTGTGTAACAGCAACAACTGGCTTGAAACGCTGAAATGAAAATTTCCCTTCCAGGTGCTTTTGTGGTGCACTTGCACTGCAGAATTTGTGGGCTGGAAGAATACTAGTCCTTGCCCTGGACATGGGAACTGGTGATTACTACAGTTTCCAAGACTTATGTCATGTAACTCGTTAAACGTGCTGGAAGAAGAACCTCTAGGGATACAGTGAGTGGCACAGCAAGCAGAGCTACCTGCTCTGCAGTTATGGGCTTTTAGCACCTAATGTTTATAGTCACTGGTTTGGACAAGTTGTTTCCAAACCTTTACTAATTGTCAGGGTTGATTATTCACTACATTTAAGGTGTTGATTTTGCTGTATATTTTTTCTGGAACTTAAGACTGTCATAGCAATCTTTCCAGGCAAGAAAAATAGAACATCCGAAAGGAGTAGCCTGATTGTTTCCGTGTTATTTCTATTTATCTCTCCCTCCTTCAGGATGACAACTGGGGTGAGACCACGACGGCAATCACAGGCACCTCTGAGCACAGTATTTCCCAGGAGGACATTGCCCGGATCAGTAAGGATCTGGAAGACAGCGTTGGGTTGGACTGCAAACGTTACCTGGGCTTAACAGTGGCAGCTGTTCTCGGACTCCTAGTCTTCCTTACCCCCATTGCCTTCATTCTGCTACCCCAGATCCTGTGGCGAGATGATCTGGAGCCGTGTGGCACTGTGTGTGAGGGACTGTTCATCTCTGTGGCGTTCAAACTCCTCATTCTCCTGATCGGGACCTGGGCTCTTTTCTTCCGCCAGCCCAAGGCAGACCTACCCAGGGTGTTTGTGTTCCGGGCCCTTCTGCTGGTCCTCATCTTCCTCTTTGTGTTCTCCTACTGGCTCTTCTACGGCGTTCGCATCTTGGACTCGAAGGACACCAACTACCAAGGGATAGTGCAGTACGCCGTGTCCCTGGTGGATGCCCTGCTCTTCATCCACTACCTGGCCATCGTGCTGCTGGAGCTGCGGCAGCTGCAGCCCATGTTCACCGTCAAGGTGGTGCGCTCCACGGACGGAGAGTCGCGATACTACAGCTTGGGACACCTCAGGTGGGTGCACGCCCTTGGGGTCTGCTGGTGCAGATAAGTGTGGCTCAGCTGCTGCGTTTGAGTCTGTGTCGTTGCTGGTTCGTGAATCTTCCCCCAGAATTCCAGAGTCCCTCCGAAGTTACCAAACTGAATCTCTCCGGCTCCTCTCTGAGTGTGGGAGAGGCTGTATCTGCCTTAGAGGAGTCCTGTGCAGTAAATCAAAAAAGCTGATGTCATTACTTTGATATGGTCAATAGCCTGATGAGGTCTTTAAGATCCTTGTCTGGGCTTCTTTCCTTGTCTCCTTACTGGAGGAAAGTGCAGAGCTCTCCTTGTGTAGTTGGGGCTGCCTTGTGCATTTTGATTGTAGGGGCCAGGCACTGCTTTGGGAGCTGCCCTTCAGGCTGTGCAGAGCATTACTGCTCAGAGAGCCCTGACAGCAGGCCAGGCCATGTGGCAGGAGCTGAAGGTTTTATGGCACGATGCTCTTTTTGCCATTAGGTATGGATCAGTTTGCTGGGTTGGATGTACCTGGGAGTGTTTGGGAGCCATAGGTATGACACAAACCTGCTGCTTCCACTCTCCTGCTGGCATTAGTGTTTCTCTCAGCAATGGTACAAAAGAGGACAGGTGTCTGAATTGCCTTAGTTCCTGTGTCCTGCAAAGCTCTCCAGAAATCCCTTAGTTCCTGTGTCCTGTGAAGCTGGCAGCTGAGCTCTGGAGATGATTCCCCAGGCTGAATGTGCACTTAAACATCTGTTCAGCTTATCCTGTCCAGACCCCAATGGCATGTGTATCTGTGGCAGATGAAGAGATTAGCATCTGCTGGTTTAAGTGGATGTAGGAGCAGTCTCCTGCAGCCATTAGCTTAGCAGTGGAGTTGCTTTGAAGCAGATTTAGTGGCTGAAGCTGAAGTCCAGGAGTTTTCTCCTAGGTAAAGAAGAACTTGAGGCCTGTTGGGTGAAGTAGGTCTGGACTCTGCTTTGTTTTCCTTCTCTGTAAAATATGAAGGGGAGAGCCCTTGGAAGTTTACCAATTGACTTAATTAAATGTCTCTTTCAGGATTTCAAAAATCTCTTGGTTTTCTTGTGAAATCAATTTTTTGAGCTTAATTGCTCTGTAGTCTGTGATCCAGCATAACCTATATGATGAGAGAGATGGAAAGATGACTACCAGGGTTTCCCTGTGCTACAATATTGTGCCTTGAGGTGTGATGAGGCAGTTCAATCATAAGTGAATTCTGCAGAGAAAGTTTGGTATGTGTCTGTATTTACCCATATGTACACACACAGCAGATTTGGTATGAGGGAGTTTGCTTGGTGGTAGATTGTGGGTTTGTGCTCAGAGGAATGGAGATCCTACACCTGCCAAAGTCTGCATGTCTAACTTGCCATTAGAGGAAAGAATTTGCTTGAGAATCAAGGCCTGAATATTTAAAAGTGCATATGTTAGAAGCAGTGTTTTTTCCCAACTCTTTCTTTGCAGCCGGGTTTTGAAATGTATTGGGTGATGCTGAGGCAGTAAAGAGTTGTAAAACTTAGGATAAAATCTGAGATGTATGAAAACTTGTGACTTCTTGTTTGTTGGCAAGCTGATTTCAGTTTTGCTTGGTACATTGAATGCAAGCCATGCAGCACATGCATGCTCCAGTGTCTTATGTTACAGAAGAGACTCATCAAGCATGTCTGATAGTGCTGAACTAGTGTTGCTTTTTCCTTTGTTTGACAGATGAGCATAATGTGTATTGACATGTGTTTTGAAACCTGTCTTTCCATATTTACTACTACAAAGGTAAAGCTGTAGGTTTGATCAGGGGCCAGGTGTCTCCCAGCTAAGGAAGAGTTTGTCCTCTCTATGTGTTACTTGTGTGTGAGAGCTTCTGATCTTCATAAAGAGTGGGGCTCCAATGTGAAAAACTGTAAAAAGTGAATGTAGTTAATATCTCCTTCAGCTTCTAAGGGCCTAGGATTGTGAAATGTTTGTGAAAAATGAAAAAAAAAAAAAAGAGAACTTGATCATCTTCATGGCACAATTTTGCAGAGTTTTCATTAAGGTCTTGTCATGGTTGTTGATGAAATGTAGGTCAGGTTCACAAGGTGCTGCCTTCTGTCCCTGATTCTCTGGCTGAGGTGTGAGGCTAGAGTGGGAGGTCTGTTGATGGCAGAATGTGAAGACACACAAGGACAGTCTGGATTTCGGGAAGGCTGGAGAAGCAGCCCTGTGGGTGTGCTGGAGAGGTGGTTCTAACTGTGCTGGAGTAGGCATGTACCACTGGCTGCTGCCTTTGGACTCCTTTTGCCACCATGCATGCTTGCCCCATCCTGACACTTTTAAAGGGGTCTTGGAGAGGTTTTGAGCTGCCACCTGGAAGGAAGCAGCTTGCTTTTACAGGTATAGCAATCCGTCTCCTGAAATCAAAACCTTTTGTCTCTTTATGCTCTCAGATATCTTAAATGTTTTGATGACAAACAGTCCATGGAGTCTGATCTTCCTCAGCAGTCTAGTGTGCTCTGGAGAAACTGGTGGTGAGAAGGGACTCGAGACATCTTAGATTGTTCAGTGTTGCTTCTTGGAGTCGTTCTGGATTTTTTTATTCCCAGCAAAATTGTTGATATCACCCTTTTTAATCCAAGATGGAAGCTTTCCAATTCTAGGTCTTTTCTGGTGAGGCAGAGGGAGCTGCTATGTAAGTATGAGAGCAACTTGTTTTCTGGGGGAGAAGGGAAGAAAACAATAGCTCAGCCACCCTTCTGGCAAGCCATGTTTTTGCAAGGCAGGGTACAGACAGGATTTTCCACCCTCCTTGGCTGCAGATGCAGTAAAGAAGCTGGAAGTGCTGAGTTAGGTATTCCACTCCACCCCTGAGAGCCCTAGGTCCAGGAGGGTAAGCATATTTGGGACTAGTTCCCCAAATTCATATTATAATCAGCCTATTAATAGGCTGTCTTGGTCCCACCCCCAGCACTTTGGCTTTAACTTTTCTTCTGGGAGACTTGACTGCCAAAATGAACGTTCCCTTTGGCGTTGATTCAGGAGCTTGGAGGGGAGAGGTAAAAATTAAATAGGAGTCTTGATGAGTGTGGTGCCAAGTCTCAGCTCACTGACTGCTCTGCTGCTCCTGGTAGGAAGGGTTGCCACACTGGGAAAATGCTTTCTGGTGGTATGTGTGGATAAAGAGCAGGGAGCATCAGAGATGCAGGAAAGGTCAAGCCTAGGAAAATGTAAGAGGTTGGGTGGGAATGGTGGTGAGACTCTGAAAGCAACAACAAAGGGAAACAAAGGTGGGGGAGCACAGCAGTAGATAACTTCTCAGTTGAAAGGCCAATACTTTTTCAAGTGGAGGCTAGGATTTGCAGCTTTGGTTTTTGCCTATAAATTGGGATGCTGATGACACTTGTCATCCAGCATTGGGTGCTGTCTTTATGGCTCGGAAACTGTGCAGGAAGAATCTTGCTGGAGAAATCCTTCCTTTCCTGTAGTTAGGATGCTAACCATATTGCCTTCCTATCCAGTGAATGCTCTTTCCCACCCTAGAGCTTTGCTAGTCTAGACAGCTCAGGAAAATTAATGTCTTGTAATACACATGGTAGTTACTGATCTTTCATATAGACTGGATGTTGGGCTGCACTATAGTTAGTTTTGGTTTTCTGAGGCTAGAAATGTTTGAGAATGGGTCCTTCTCCTCCCTTTTGCTCATCCTTGCAGCAGGTATGTGAGGAGCAGGGCTGTGATAGTTCATCTTGTGTTGGGCTGTTTAAAGGAGCTGGAGTTTCAGTCTTCTTTTCTGTCTGTGGTGGTTTACCCCAGCTGGCAGGCAAGTACCACACAGCCCCTCACTCACACTTTGCTCTGTAGGGTGGGGGTGAGAATCAGCAAAAAGGTAAAATCTGTGGGTTGAGTTAAGAACAGTTGAATATTTTAATTAATGTATAATATAATACTAATTATAATGACATTGATAATAGTTATTGTAATGAGGGGGGGGGGAGGGAACTAAAACCCGAGGAAGGCAAGTGATGCTCAATACAGTTGCTCTCCACCCACTGACTGATGCCCAGCCTGTCCCCAGGCAGTGATTGGTGGCTCCTGGCCAGCTGTCCTCAGTTGATACACCCAGCATGATGGTCTGTGGTGTGGAATATCCCCTTGGCCAGTTTGGGCCAGCTGTCCTGGCTGTGCTCCCTTCCAGCTTCTTGTGCAACCCCTCACTGGATGGCAGAGCATGGGAAAATGAAGAGTCCTTGACTTAGAGTAAGCAGTGCTTAGCAACAACCCAAACATCAGTTTACTAGGAAGAAAAATAATGCAATCCTGGAGAAAACCAGGACACTGTCCTCTCTGGTGTGGGCTTGCCTTTGTGAACCAGGTGGCTAGGAAGCTGATGGGGAAGCCTGTAACAAAAGGGTTTGGGTTTTGCAGATGGCTGTGAGCTGGTCAGTGTTCTGTTGTAAGCTTGGTACTCAGAAGTAGCAGTTCTGCATGGTAAAAGTGTGCTTGAACATTCCCTGTACCCTTGTTACTCATCTCCGTTTGCATGGGTGTTTGCTGAACTGTGGTTTAAAAATTAAATTAAACTGTGGTTTAAAAATAAAGGGAACAGCTGTTTCCTCAAAACAAGTACCTGTCTCTGAAAACCCAGGGCCTTCCCTGCAGGAATTATCCATACCTTACTGAGAGACCTGGTGGCTTGCACACACTCACAGAAGAAAGGAGGTGCAGACATGTTCTGTGGAAGGGGATCACATTCAGTCTGTCTCCCAGCTGCTCTGGGTGTTTGTTGGACCTGTTGCTTATAAAGCTGGTCTGTAGGTTGTCAGTATTTACTGATTAATCTGCTGATTGCTCTCTTGTCAGGCATTCCTTGGTGCTACTGGTACTTTGTTCACTACTGAGGGAGTGTGGAAGGCTAAGGAGTGGGAATAGGCTTCTCCATATTCCAGCCTGCATCTGTAAGCCTTGACATCTGATCTTGTTGCTCAAATATACCTCCCCATATCAAGGGTGCTAATGAAGAGCAAGAG